GGCCCTGCTTCTTGCCTTTAAATAAGCTCTAATTGACCGATATGTTGACAGGAAGCATTAAACTCAAAACAAGATCTAATTGCCTTTTCTTTGATGTAAGCAAAGAGAGGAACAATGTTGCTTATCAACAACCATGCTGAAGGAGAACAGAAACGGAATCACAAACAATTACACATCATGGGAGAACAGTTTCTCTATGATTCAGTCAATCCTAGCAAAAACTCCCCGGGACCTCGATATCTCAGTATCATTTTCTGGTTCTGAAACAATTTATAGTGTATTAAGGCAGTGATGTCAGCAGAACCAGAGCTGATCTGCTAGTTATGACTGATCTTCAAAGTGACTTCCCCTGTTTGGTATGTAGGTTGGGTGAAGTGCCTGCATTCCTGCACTCTGAAGAAATCACTCACTCAGCTTTAAGAATACAAATTCAGGGATAATATCTCCCAGCATATGGGGGTGGGAAATATAGAACTGAGAAGGGCTGACTTCTGGGTTCCCTAGAGCCTGTGACCTCAAGCCCACCAGTCAAGGTACACAGCTTCCTCAGCCAGACTTGCAAACTGATAACCAGTTAGTGGCACAGATATATACAGAATCCTGGACTCCTGATTCCCGTGTTCAATCTATCTGAAAACCTATAGCATAAATGCCCTTGTCAGACAAAGGCATGTGCATATCGCTAAGTATTGTGCTAGGATAATGGAAAGGAATTCACCAAAGCCCTCCTTTCTATAGTCTCTTTAATAAAGAAAAACCCAACAGCTTTCAAAAACACGTTTGCCACAGGACATGAAATAACAGGTTGCCATCTGTCAGGGTGCAGTGGCTGAGTGGTTTTGGCACCTGATGACAATCCTGATAGCCGTGGGTTTGATTCTTACTCAATCTCTCCCTGAAAGGCCACTTCCAGTTCACCCAGATGCAAAATGGGTACCTGATCCATTGCATTAGGGCAGCCATAGGCCTGCAGACATGATGCTGGCCACATCACTCCCTTGTATACTGCTGGCTAGGTAACTGACGTGCCTTTACTGTGTCAGCCTGATGAGCTATTGGCTCAGGAGAACTTTCATGCTATCTGGCATTTTCCAGACAAGACTAAAATTGTTCTGCTCCTGATGGTTGGAAATATATTTGTGAGCTGTTTTGCTATGGGTATTTTGGTCACTACTAGTTAAAACATGCTTAGGAATAAGAAACAGCATGACATGTTGAAACTACAGCAGACAGCATGAATGCCTTCATGATATACCTTCAGTTTCCGTACATGCTTTATTTATTTAGGGTTTGATCCAATGCCCATTGGCATTAATGGGAGTCAGTCCATTTACTTGGTTGGGCTTTGCATCACCCATTATCAGAAGAGTTTAATTTATGGTTTGAGAAGAAAACAAACTTCCACTGATTTGACATAGGAAAGATAACTCCTATAAAACATGAAGAACTTCTCCCCACATTCTTTAATGATCATGGATCTAATAACAATTATGTCTCCAGAAAGTATAAGGAAGAAATTGGATGTGCAATCAGCATGGAGAGTATTTACTCCTGGGGGAATTCTGCACCCTGGTACACATGCAGAATTCATGTCCCCTACAGATCCCCCACACCCTAACCCCGCAGAATAATACATTCTGCCAGGGAGGTGCTGCAATTACACCTTTCACCCATCAGGGCTGCTATGGCAACAGAAAAGAGAGAGAAGCCAGCTCAGGGCCGGAGCAGCCAGCCGTGTATAGAGACAGGGCAGAAGCTGCTTTCCAGCGTGCCCTGTATTGTTACAGACATACTTACTGACAGGTATTTTGAAATAAATTACCAAAAAACCCTAAAACTGGTGTTATTATATTGTGTTATTTTGACAAAGATATGCAGAACATTAAAATATGGTGTGCAGAGGTTTTAATTTTTTGGCATAGAATTCTTTGGCGCAGATTTCTCCCAGGAGTAAAGACACTGTATAAACTTCATTGCCCTAACCCTTTGGAAAAGTGATCTTAGTTTTACTTGTAACCCAAATGGGTTAAAGCTAGTCAGCCACCCATGGCAAAGAAGCCCTATCTACAAGGGTTCTCAAACATCTTCCTTAGCATGGACCACATCTTAATAAAGAAAGTCTCACAGACCCTCCCCCCTTCCTATTTGCAATCATGAAGAGCAACTCTCCTCCCATGTGTGACAGCATAACATCACTGTGTCAACCGTCAACATCTTACAGTAACGGATTAATTTCCTAACGTATTTTTAGCTTCTTTCAATGCATTTTACCAGTGGAAACAAGGAGATGAACGTATACCATGAGAAAAGCCAGCTCTCTGCAGACCACCAGTTATTGGTCTGTGGACCGGTCTATTAGCATGTTGTCCCAGGAGGACAACTCTGTCATCAGAGCTGCAGAAGCAGCTGTGGCACAATTTGACAATGAAAGTTTAGTCATCCCAATGAAATAATCAGGGATAACCATCTACATGCAAATAATCTGGTACAAGTAACAGTCCCATCAAGAGAGGCCTCATACTTAAAGAGAGATGAAGATGCTGAAGGTCAGATGGGCTGAGGTACCTCAGGAGAGATGCATAGGGAATCTGGCATCAAGCCTGATTACACTAGATTTGTCTGCAGCCAAACTCTTGCCTTCATGAAACATGCATTTTACCAACGTTACATGCAAAAACTAAAGACGATTATCTTTAGGCTCTTAAAACCAGCACCACTGAATCTCAATGTTTATATGTTACAGTCTATTTTTATACAAATTCAATGTGTTGCTTCACCTTTTTTGTAGTTTATTTTCGCACTAAACATCCTAGTTGCCTGAAGACTGAACATCTTAACCTCTTCGAAATTTCAGCTTCGGTAAAAGACATGCTGTACCTAATTTGTTCTCATTTCCACTCATCCCAAATCCCATTAAACTGAAGTGTATCTTTTTAAATATTCATTTACCAGTGAGGACAGGGTGTTTCATCCCTGGTCAGTAAGAGCTCACATATGGAAATACATTTAAGCAGTTTAAAGATTTAAACTGGGATTTTTACTTTTGTCTCACACTGGTTCTCCAGTGACTGAATCGAAGACTCAAGAGACAGAGTTCAGATAACTAAGAGCTTTTTCTGCCTATGAAGGAAGCCCTTGCGAATCAATTTTACTCAAACATCAATTCATTTGATCACAGCACTCACCTGAAACAGGGAGAAAAAATAAGGAAGGACAGAAAATGTTAATAAAGGAAGCGTACCCTTTCCAGGTTAGCTACTTACCGTATATACTCGTTCATAAGCCGAATATTTTTGGTAAAAAAGCGACACATCAAAGAGCGGGGATCGGCTTATAAATGGGTCTACACCAAAATTTGATAATTTTAAACTCTATGGAACCATTGAACTGAATATCTAACATTGTTTTGTTTATCTAGAGCGTCTGCAGGCATGGAGCCCCTCAGCTCCCTGTGGCCACAGTTTGCCGTTCCCAGCCAATGGGAGCTGCAGGAAGTGGCGCCACCTCCCGCAGTTCCCATTGGCTGGGAACGGTGAACCACGGCCACAGGGAGCTGAGGGGCTCCATGCCTACAGACGCTCCAAATAAACAAAATGTCCTGACCGGCCAGCGGCTTACCCTGACGGCCCAGGAGCTAAAGTTTGCCAACCCCTGAAACATAGGGTCGGCTTATGAAAGGGTCACACAGTTTTTGCTATTTTTACCTAACCATCCTGGGGGGGTCAGCTTATAAATGAACGAGCTAATGAACGAGTCTATAAGGTAATTCCATTCAATTATATACATATTTCATCATGGAATGAAAATCATAGCTAAGATCGATCCTGTGCTGTCCTCCCTACCACCAAACAACATAAACATCAGCCAACAGGGCAGAACAACCCTGCCACAGGGAAGGGATAGGAAGGTCAGTGTGTACACTTTTAAGGGTCTGTGTCCCTCAATTCCAATAGCAGCAGGAAAGGACTAAGGGAACCAGGACTGAAATGTCCGTGTTAGTTCCACTACAGCCATTTCATGGTCATTTTGTCTCTGAATGTTTTAAGTTGCAACTCCTTCCATTTTAACTCATAGGAACTCAGCTCATTTTATGTTTTGACCTGGCTTTTACCTGTGTCTCATTTCTTAGAAGGTAGAAGATCATCATAAAGACATTTGATAAGTACAATACTACCAGGGACATGAGCAATATAGAAAACTAATACCTTGATTATATAAATATTACACCATATAGAATAGTTCCAAATCATATAGAAATCTAGGAAGCGCTCCTTTAAAGAATAAATTGTACAAGGGAAGAGAAACAGAAAAAAAAAATTCTACCATGATTTGGACTGTCAAATTGCCTATGGGTAGGCTAATATTCAAATTTATCAAAAAAATTAAATTGCTTTAATGACACCATATAGAAGAGCATACAAATGGAGCATATTTTAAAATCTATTTTACCCCTTTTATGTTATTTGTTTCTTTTTTTCCCCATAGACAACAAACATACATTGTAATTTTGTTTATAATTGTTTGTAATCTTTAACCCATACACTAGGTCAACTAAAGGATTTTTAAAATTTAATTATTTGCTTATTATCGAGAAATGCTGGACGTAAAAAATCCAAGAATCTGAATAAAATAGCTAACCAGAACATGTTAATGTAAGACAATGTCCTACCTAATATTGCTTTCTAACACACCTTTTCCACTTGATATCAACATTCTCTTTTCTTTCACAATAATTGTTTTACCAGCATACAACACTGTTTCTTCTCATGTGTTTACTATGCTGTTTGTGAAAATAATCTCAAAAATATGTGGCAATCACTATCCATGTATCCTAAGATTAGATACAAAAGGAAAAAAACTTGCAAATCATATAAAGACAAAGCATAATGATGTAGCAACTTAGGATATTTTGCTGTTTGGAACATTTTTAGTAGTAAAGGGCAAATACACACCAGTAAGATCAATTCCACAGACCCCAACCTAAACAAACATTAATTTACCTTTAACAACCTCTTCTACCGATTCGGTAGTAGTGGTGGTTGTGGTAGCAATGCTGGTAGTTCTTTCCGTGGCCTCTTCGTACTGTTCCTCTGCCTCTTCTTCAATCTCATCACCATCATCGTCATCAGCATCAGCATCTTCGTCCTCCACGTCCGTTACTTCCTCCTCTTCCTCCGGCTGCTCTTCTACCACCTTGTCATCACTGAAAGAATCAACAGATTTTGTTGAGTCAGCAATAAAACACCTACTAGGTGAGAAATTGGACAACGGCTTATTCAGAACCTCGCGGAAGTGTGACAAGGAAACCCCCTCTCAAAAAGCGTCAGCCTGGCACTCTGGAGAGCAATGCAGTGAGATTTAATGCATATATTGAAAATGAAACAGTAACAAAAAGATAAATATGGATTTTGTTCTGCTGCTAACATAGCAGGATGCCAATATGAAGCCCATTTCCATGCACTGGAAGGAGAAAGGCCCTGTATTAACCATACCAGATCGTGCCAACTGATTAATGTCTTGGGTGTGCATGTTTTATGCTGCTCTTGGAGATCGGACAGTTGCTTTGCACTGGAATTTTGTAAAATGACTGAGGTGGGTTCAAACAGATGAATGAAGCCGATGGCCATATGCTTTCAGCGCTAAGTGATATTTTCTTAAACACGTACACATCCTAGATCATAATGAGTAATTATCATCATCAGAAAATGACGTCAATGAGTGATAACAATCAACTTACTCAAACTCACATATTATTATTATTTGTATCCTGGTAGCTCCCATTATGTGCTAGGCGCTTTTCAAACACATATTAAGACATGGGACAAAATCATTAGTCATTGGAACTAAGGGCTTGTCTACACAGGAGCATCCTGGAAAATTAATCCAAATTAACAAAAAGGTTGAATTTGAAATGGGTTAAACAACATTAAATCCTAGTGTGGATGATGTTATTCAGAATTAAAGTGGCCTTTATTCAGTTTAGCTTAATTCACTTTGGTACTCAGGTGGGACAAACAAGAGTGTCTGAATCACAACCACACTAGACACTCTTGCTTAAGTACAAGGCAAGGTAAGGTTTCGCAACCCTGTAGTGTGTCTTGGGCAATGGGTCTCACCTATTACATACTGTGACCTTCTTCCCACTCCAGGACAACCCATCCTTTTAGCAATATGGGAAGAGCAGCGTGGTCATGACCCTCTGTCACCTGGTTGTGACTTCCAGGTTGAGAGACCCCTAGTCTTGGACATTTTCCCTAAGAATGCTGAAAGTAAGGCTTCTATGGTTTCTGACTGTAGGGCTCTGAATAAACAAACAGTAATGGAACAAACAAAGGAAAGCCAATTTAAGAAGGCGCAGGGAAAACCACTACAAAAACGATTTACTTGTACGCATCAAAGATCCAGCTGTGTTTAGCTATATAAAAGCAATTCATTTAGCCATGTGAATGCACAACATTTTGTTGTTATATTTGCAGTCCCTAACCGCAATCATGTTTTTTGGTGTAGAATTCTAAACAAATCTGATATGTGAACCCGTAGAAAAATTATTGCTAGGCCAGGGTCATCTAAAAATATTTAGAGTGGTAAAAATATGTTTTGCATCTGCTTTAAGATCATCAATGGAAGTAGCACATTTTTGATAGTTTGTAGACAATTCATGAGAACGAACACAAATCCACATAGAAGTTACTTGTAGTTGGGAGCACAAATATTGAATTCAGTGTGACTAAGAAATGATCAGCAAACAAACAAGGTCTAGCTAGAGACATAGTGAGCTATTTACCTGGAATTCAATTTCTGGAAAACAATACTCCTCTTCCTTACATGAAAATTGTGCTTATATACCCCTCATATGAGTGACATATCCTGTACATACTATGTTTTATGCTGGTTGCAAGCACCTGACTACACCACCGATGGCCTTGGGTAGACAATAGTGAATTCTAACGTGTAAGACAATATCAGGACCAGCCACTTGCCTAAACACTTTGGAACCTCACAGGAGGCACTGTGGTGGGAAATAAAGAAAGACTATGACGACTGGGGCACTTAGGCTCCTGCAATTACTCTAAAAACCTACAGAAGTTAACAATATCCTTTGCACTTTTTTTTTAAGCTTTCTAGAAAATTATGTTCTTGCTAAAAGCGTATACTATATTCTACAGGACTCTCCCCCAAGGGCAATATGTCACAGAACTGATTTTATACACATCACTGCATGGGGAGTAATGTGAAGATAGATTAAAACACACACTGTCTTCCAGAGAATTTGATGTGAATCATTCAGAAGGAACCAAAAGTACTGGCATATTGATAAAGTATTTGGTTTTCTCAAAATGAATTTAAAATCTAAAAGTTTATTTTTGTTCCCCACAGTTCCTAGAAACAGCTGGCCTCTCATCGGACGCACACAGCCATCCCACAGACTTCTAAAGTAGGATTCCAGTCTCACCATAAAAGCAGTCATTACTTTTTCAATCACTATTGAGGATTTTGAAAATCTGCATTCAAAGATGACTCTTTAGATGATACACAAGTCAGTTTTACTATCAGACATACTTTCCTCTCATTAAAGAAAATGAGGAATTGGAGTTGAAGAACCTGAACTTGCATTTTAATTTTGCTTACGGAGAATACGTCTAAAAAGGAACTAAAAATAACAGAGAGTAGTCGGACTTTGGCTAAGCCTGATGGTTTCATCATACTGTCCTAAATGTATACAACACAATCCTATAAACAGCGCAGCACAAATATACAACTTAAATATGCGTTGTGATACATCAAGCATGTACTACAGAAAACAACTAAAATTATAGTAACAGCACTGTTATACTAGAAAACAACACTAACATATTGTCTCATATACTCCTCAGATTCAACTGTGAAAACAGCACTCAATATATTACTACCACAGTACTCAGGGAGCATCTCTTCCCCACACCGTCAAGAAATGACACAGACCTACCAAGAAATAATAGCATCATAGTCTTTTACCACAACCGTGGATTCATATCACTTACACCAGGTGTTCTCAACACAAAACATGATTGCGGTTAGGGACTGAATCACGTCCCATCTTCGCTCCCTTTTTTTAAACCTGGAGCTGCCCCACCCCCAGCTGGGAGAAACCCCCCCCCAGTTGAGAACCACTGAGCTACGCTATAGAGGCAGAGTTTGTTCAGATGCTGTGCCAAAAGGGGTTCAAGTCTCAAGTTTTGGTATTATTGTAAGTATTTATATTCACAGATGTAGACTTTGAACCAAATTTTGGTGCTGTCATTCGAGATGAGACTGCGGCCCATGCGTGGTAAGGCCAACACTGAGTGCTAGTATTATGGTGCTTCTGTGACAAATGATGTATTCTATACTGTACGTGGCTGTAACGTTCTCACTCCCAAGACAGCTCAAATGTTTTAATTGTTGTTCAGGACAGAAGAGATGAAGAGATGCAGTGAAACACCCCAGCTAACCAATTTTTTTTTTTAAATCAAAAGTCATGCTTGGTTTTGTTGGATTAGTTTTACTGGCACTTACTATTGGTGATAATTTCACAGCACCCTAGTGTGATGGGCACTTCACAGCACCAGTAAAGACCCACAATCTCTGTGCTGAAGAATTACCAACATTAGGACCCAATCCTGCAACTTGTTGCATGTGTGGCAGATTCCTGCGTCCATGCAGAGCCCCACTGACTTCAATGGGCTACGTGGGAGCATAGGGGTCCACCCACAGAACAAGCTGCAGAAACCATATTGGAGTTTAATTTCTGACAACGAACTCTCTCAACAACAACAGGATGGGGTCGGGGGGAGGATGAGATGGACTACAGCAAAAATTACATAGTTACTCAGACAAAGGTGTGGACAGCACAACATAGTTTAAAAAGTGTGCGTGTGTATATGTGTATGTATCTGTTTCTGAGTGCACCACAGTGAACATGGGTATTCATGAGAGGCCTGAATGAGGAGCGGGTCGGGGGCTTACATACTAGCGCACAAATGGAATGAAGTTAAATTCCAATCGTATGGAATACAACTGCAAATTTTACAATGGTACAGATCCCTTTATTTAGTGCACAACTTGAATTGCCAACTTCTTTCTCTCGGTCATGGTAAATACTTTTATTCCCGCTGACATTGCACCCAAATTTCGCATCAGAGTGATGCTGTTTCCAGCTATTCTAATATACCCATCACCTTGGTTCCAAGTTACATCAAGAGTTTTGAAAGAAAGAGTTGTTATAGAAGGCAGTTAAGAAAGAAAATATTTGTACCTATCAGCTCAAGAGTTTCTTTATGTTTTATTTAACCTATTGTGCAGGTGTGCATACTTCATGTTGCTATTGCATTTTACTCCTTTGCTAAGCAAACGTGACTCAGTCTTGTTGGTTTTGGAACGCTGATCCTTCAACAGCTGTTTCTGCGTATTCCCTTGACACTATCTCAGCCAGCACCACAGACTGCAGTGTCTAGTTTACAAGATATTGTTGACATTTTGACTCAGTGTAATGGTGGTGGTGACAGGATTTTTCAGAGGCAGTTCAAGACATTACTCGATACACTGGCAAAGTTCACATATTTGTGAAGCCTTATCACTATCTGAATTTTACAGTTCAGCAGCAAGCAACAGGGATAAATTGCTAGACGTGAATATGGTTTTGAAAATACCGGGAATGTTCATAAAATCAATATTAGCGGCTCACAGCCTCATGTCAACAAAAATGTTGCAGTAATTAGGGATAGTAATTTGCATTAACAACAGACACAAGGGGGCCTAAAAGCAACCTTGACCTGTCTCAAACTCCTTACACAGGGAATATTAAAATTTCCTCACCATGGAAACATTTCTGCTCTGAAGCACTGGAGAAGTAAACTAGATCTTAATGTAAATCATCTCTCCCCTGCTTATTGTATTGTCAAACAGGATATGGTTAAGAGGTATTACAGTAATACCATTCTTATACTCACGGAACCACTGGTATTTCAGGCAAATTCATGAGGTAAGCAATTCCACTTGTATTTCTGTTTTAAATAAAAGCATATCAACCATTTTAGGTCTAATGGGCCAATCTGTCCTCAAACATGCACACGTACAAGTCCCACTAACGTGCATCTCTGAACATATTTAAAAGGAAGAATTTAGCCCACAGATATACATTGATTATTCAGTATGTTATTTTTTTAAATCCACCACTTTGCTAGG